TCAAAATTAATTATGATAGAGTGTATTAAAAGTTGCAATAGCAAATCAAGGAGTTTTATTAAGTGCCCTTTAGATTTCCTTATGTGTTTAGTGGTTTTAGCTTTTTATTTGCTCATCACTGTCTGATTCATCATGATTACTATGAGAAGGCTCTGTAAAGTAGAACAAAAATGCCTGAATATGGGGGTAATAACTACAACTCTCAGTTCCTACCTGGGCTTGATATATCTCTACCAGGTAAAATAAATGTACAACTGTTCTAGTAGTGCTGGTGACTGCTTGTAACTGTCCTTCCCCTGTTGAGGTGTTTGGTCTGTGCACTTGGCAGCAAAGCAGTGGTTGTGCATTAGGCATTTGCAAATGCTCCTGATACCCCTCCATCATCTCAATGGCAAAAATTCCAGAGCGTCATTGGCCCACCCCCAAAAACTGTGGTAAGTCTTGTAGTGGGGAATGATCCCCCCCACTATCTGCAAGGCATGACAAAGCATGCCTGCTGCACGGAGTGCTCAGGGCAGGATTTACTGGGATTTTTTTATTCACAATTGGTAGGGACTGGTGGACACCTATATATATGGCAGTCCCCTTGGGTGGGCTTGTTTCCATACCGTGTTGGTTGCTGTCTTCAAACACAAACCCTATGAGGTTCCCCCAGGCATAAACTCCTCTGGGATCCTAATTTATTTCGTGCCCAAATGAATTGTTAATTCTGTGGTTCTAGTTCACACTTTATAGGCCTTTAGCCTTCTACTGAAGCAGAGCAAACTTCTTCACACAAATGCTTGAGCTTGCTCTGTCCTTTGCATCTTCTGTGTCTCCATCTGTGTCTTACTTACTGGCTGCTCAAGCTGGAGTGGCTCAGGGTGGTGGGATGCATCTATAACTGGAGAATAAGATCTGGCATTCATTAGTGATATCGGATTACAAAACTCCACACATAAGAGATTGTAACATCTGTGTTGTAATCCAAACCTAGTTAACAATATGATCTCAGGAAAATAGGCCATCTACAAAACTCGACCTGGAAAAGATGCTGCATGTAGTTCAGCAAACTATCATGTATTCATTTTTCTCATTCTGTAAAGTCATAGATTTTTAAGTGAAAAGACGTAATTACCACCTATAATCACCTTCAACCTTAACCTATCTATCCCCACTACATTACCTCAGGTAATACATTTGATATATGTCTATACCCACTGATGTGTAGGTGGACATACTCTTCTTAATCATAGTCTACTTGCAGAGGATTAATAGTTTAATGAGCAACAGAATTATCACAATACCTGTACTAGAATCATTACATTGAAATAAAATACATTAAAACCCCTGCTAAACACAGTAGTACTTAAACATGTACCCTGCATGCACTGCACTGTGGTGAGTCTTGTAGTGGGCAATGATCTTCCCTCAGGTGAAATCAACTCCTATTTCTAGAGGAAATAGGCTGTACCTACGGCCCATGTACCCAGTTATCTATCAGTTGTACTTCTCAGGTGAAATCAGCAACCCACCACATATAAGACCCACTATGCACTAGCTTCAAGACCATTCATTCCCCCTAAACTCATAGTACAACTTACTCCTTCATACCTTTGGATCACATCAGGGTAAACATAATACAAGTCAAAGAATGTAATCCATTAATTTATTTAATAAACAAAAATTCTTTTAGGGTAAAAAAGGGTGACAAAAATGTTTTGCATGAATTATACAATTCTGTGTAATTGTAATACCTTTTTGTTCCAAAAGTTAGGTCTCCTCAATGTTTCAAATCCTCCCTTTGCTTCTAGTCAAATTTTGTTTAGATTCACTTTTTATTTTCCTATACCATTTCTTCTCAGATTAAACTCCTGCTGATTATCAGAAATATTATTTTCCTGTAATCAATGTGCAGGTTATCTCTAGGTCATTTTTCAAATCAACCAAACAGGCTGTGCTTTTTCATTCTTTCACACAGTGAGGCATATTTTGAAGACAGCATCATTATATCTTTCCAGAATAATTCCCAGTTCCTTGATATCCTTTTAGTATTACAGAAATTAATTCTGGACAAAGAATTTCAATAATAGTGCCACTAATGCTGCCTTACCATTTTTATCATATCCCCTTGCTTGCAAATCAATTAAGGATCATGTTAGCTCACTGAAGGAAATCCGGTTCAACTGGTCATCTACCATTATGGTCATTTGTTATCAATCTTGAGACAGAATCATTGCTCTTAACAATAGCTTTTCTCATCTTACAAATAATCCTTGTTTCTAGATAGAAGTCCTTACACTTGGCTGCATTAAAACCTATGTTTGGATCTGATCTGACCTCTGCAAATGATCCAAGTCACTCTTAAACTGACCTGTTCTCCGTTTTATTTACCATTCTACCAATAGGTCGCAACCAGTTCACTGATTAATTGAAAGTAAAAGGAAATAGATTTTTTCCTGTATAAATTATTTTAATGCATGAGGCCATGACCCAAAGCCCATTAGACTCACTGAAAGAATTTCTATTGAATTTGGGGAACTTCAGATGGGGTTCTGAGTCAGTAGCAGTTTTGCTGTTTTAGGAATTGTTCTCATTCCAGGATAGAGCAGAATACATTATAGGCTTTCCTGACAGATACAGAATAAATTTTTTGTTAGTTTGGTCTAGGTTTTTAAAAATTATTATTATTATTATTATTTTATATTTTTTATTGTGCCAGCAAAGAATATTCAGGCAGGATGCAGTCAAAAGCTGGCTTCAGAGCCCACACTGGAATTGAAAATAATGTTCAATAGCTTAACAAGCTAATAGTCTATGCATCCAGTTTCTGGAATTATCTATATGCATGGTCTTAATATGTTCACTATTTTCTATAAGAGTAAATCTGTTGATTCAATTATTTTTCCTTAGTGACACTAATGAAAAGCTTTATTTGATAATTCTGGATCAAAATTCAGGCCAGTTGTCAATTTTGTGGTAAACTACAAAATTTCAGATTTTCATTCAAAGATGGTATGTACTTTTTAACACACTGAATAATTTTCCTACATATTTTATAATCTTAAAACACTGAATAATGTAAATTGTCTATATTTCAAGTAGCTCTAGGAATATAATCAGTAATCCTTAATAGATTGAATTTTTTTTAATAAAGAAAATAATAGAGGTTTTCATTCAATTCCAGTTTTGTGAACCTCAGTTTCTGGTAGAAAGTGGAATGTATTTCATTTGAACCTGTCTTGAATATATGAGTTACAAACTAATTTTTTTCAATGACTGTTACTTGGTGTTTTTATGGGCAGCATCTAGTGCAGTAAGTCCCTGATTTCAACTGAGATTAAAGAACCAGTGTAATAACTAATAATAAGTTTTCAACAAAAAATAAGCTGTTACAGAAATAAGGATGGGTTACTTTCAGGTGAGCATTCTTCAGCATTGGCTTGAAGCCATCTTCAGCAGTCAGCTACAGATAGATTTATTGGTCAGATGACTTTCAATGTAAAACACAAATTAAAATCTCAGTCTTGGAAATTTGTGTAAGAATAAAATTGTGGTCCATCTAGAGTGTTGTAAAGGAAAACATGAATCTTGGACTTAAAAACAATAGCAATCTGCCTCCAACCAGAAGATATCCCCCATTTTTTTCCCCCAAAATCATTAGTAGTGGGTTAAAAAAGACTTTGCAATGTTCTTTTATTGATATTAAAGACAGTACCTACAATTTTCTCCCTCACAGTGTCTAGAAACAGAAATTTTCCTTCTAGTGGTTGCCTGTGTGTTTTGGCACACAAGGCTGTATCTTTCAATATCAAAGTAGTTGAGTAAGCTAATAATACTGATACTAAAAGATTCAATGCCTGTAGGCTTTCTTCAGTGTATTGTGTATTTATATTAGAAATGAAGCTGGTCTTGTCTGCTTGCTGTGCTGTGCATGGGTTCTTAACCTCCTGCTAAGATCCTAGCTATTGATTTGGGTTGGCTCTCTCTGTAGGTGCCTGGCATGTTGCCTTATTCTCATAAAGAAATAAATACCTAGTTCTGAAAATCTGGACTTTTGTTGGTACTTTTGTTTCAGATGGCGACCAGAAGCACATCTTTTCTGGTTGACTGAGAGTACTGCCTTAATATAGGGACCTAAAATCTGTAAATTGCAAGTGCCATGCAGCAACCTGAGCAAAGGCAGTAGATGTTCTACCCTTTGCTGAAAAGCGGGTGGATAGCATCCTGACCTCCAGTTGACAGCTTCTTGCCAGTGGGTTTTATTGAAACTCCCTATGTTCTTTTCCTCAAACGGTTTTAAACCTTTTTTTCAGAAGGATTTATATATCAAGGAATAACTAAGTTTTGCATGGGGTCTTATGTAATAAATTCAATGTATGGGTATCACTGTGTGAGCTGTTTCCCTATTGCACTGATAATTTGCAGTCGGCAGTTTTTTGTTTTGTTATTTTTTGTTTTGTTTTGGTTTGGTTTTGGTTTTGGTTTTTGTTTTGTTCTTTTTTTTTACATTCCCCAAGTCTGCTATGAAGATACAAGTAGGGACAGAGAGAGAATGAGACTTTCTTTTTTTTTTCTTCCTTTGTTTTTTTAATAGAGTTCATATATAAGAAAGGGGAAATCACAACTGTAGTGGTAATGTTGAATGCTGGTCAAAAGTTTCCTTGGGCAGTTTCAGCAGGTGAAACATCATTTCAGAAATAGTCAGCTAGGTAGTAAAACTGAGGAACAAAAACCAGGAAGATTGTCAGAAGTGTGTTCCTGGCTGAGTGACAGAGACCCACTGCAACATGCATGCAAACGTGCATAACTAGTTGTGTGAGCAGTGTTGCTGAAATTAAAGGAAGGAAAGATGTAAAAAGGAAGGATATTACTACAAGTATTATTTTTCAGGCTTTCAATCTTCAATCTATGGAATAGTTTGGCTTTTATGCTCAGTTTTACAAAACACTTCAAAAAGTATTGATGTAACAGAGGAAGGAATATGAGTAATTGAGCAATATAGGCTCTTAGATCTCACATTTCTATGACTCATAAGATTCAGGCTATGAAAAGTAGGACAAGCTTTAATGCAAGGAATAACACAAACATCAGTGTCCGTTTACGTACTTCCATCACTAAATTTGAATCACAAAACATTTCCCCATTTTTTCTTTAATTTAAAGGAGGAGAAGAATTCACAGCTCTATCTTCACTCCTCTGCTTAGCGAAGACCAAGGGCAAACAGCAGGAAAACCTGGAGAGTGTTTTGCTGCAGATTGGGAGCAGCCACTAGGAGGGGCTGACTGCCTTGAAGAGAAGGTAGGGGATTGATTTACTACCAATTCCAATAAAAAGTGTTAATAAAATTTCAGTTCTAAAAGTAGTGCTAAGCTAAGACAAAGTTGGCGTATTTATATATTATTTACAATGGTTACATAATAACTTGTGGGATAAACGCTGGGTTTAATACTAATGTACTTCCAGGCAGCAAAGATATTCGAGGGCCTGATTTCAAAAAAACCCTCAGAACACTGTTCTCTGCTAAAAGATAAGATCTGATTCATGTCAGTTCCTTAGAAAGAAATGTCCTGTATTTTATGCACCATTGTGGGACACAGATAAAATAGCTGATTGAATAATAAAAAAAGAAAAGGTCTCTGTTCTGTATGTGTTTGAAAATCAGTGTGTGTTTAGGCCAGGTGGCCTTATTCATAATCATGGCTCTTGGACAAAACAGCGTCTGTTTTCCCATAACAGCCTTTTTTGCTGCATTATAATCTCTTTATATATTTAATACCATAAATAAAACACTGGCATAGAAGAAAACTATAAATAAAACACTGGCATAGAAGGGATATGCCAAAAGTGATCTCTCAAAATTTCTTTTTTAATATCAGTGCCATAGTTAAAAGTCTATTCAGTGCCATACTGGAAGGGATGCGGAAGCAACAGTTGCATACCTACCTAGACCAGGAAAAACAAAAATAATCACACCAGGAAAGTTATAAATGGGACTGTTCTTAGTGATTCCTATCAACTGAGGCTTCCTTTTTCTCCTCCTTCACATAGAACTTATTGCTTATGAAAGATGCCAGAGTGATGATTCTGACCTCTTACCCAGAAGTATTTTGGAAAAGGTTGCATATTTCAACCAGAGTTCAAGCACCATGAAAAAAAGTAGGAGGGATTGCTCTTCTATCCTAATTTACAAGACAGTGAGTGAAAACCGGTGTTTGGCCTATGATTATAATTACTTACATTTGATCTGCTGAAGGACACTTCAGGGCAAATGCATCCTTTACATAACTTCTTTTCTTGTTTAAAAAAAAGAAGGAGAGAATTTGATTTAGAAAGGTAAGTATGAAATATAAACTCTTTCCTTTCATTTAATAAGAGTCTTGAAATCAAAAATATTGCAGCTGCCAAAGTGTAGCCCAGTAAATTTGGTGAAACTAGATTTATTTTAGAGATCTGGAAAAATAAGAAAGGGACAAAGAGAATCCTCAGTTCTCTAAAGGCAAATTTCAGTGAGGATGGATGCGATTATTGTGAAAAATGGGCTAAGGATATTCTTCTTTGGGAAGAGGATGTAATGATCAAGGTGAAAAGGGACAACATGAGCTGACCATCTGTATTCAACAAGACATTCTATTTTTTCCATGTTGAAAAGTTCGTTGCTGTGAGTAGGAATCTTCTTTACACTGATGTAATTAGCATCAGCACAAGAAACCTGTCTCCTGTTTGTTTATAAGCAAGGAAAAAACCCCAGCAGTAATGACAGTGAGAGCATGGTTTCAAAGCAACTGTTTGCTCTGTGAAGGAGACTAGTTGAAAATTGTTTTTAAGCAGACAAGATCTCTGCTCCCACTGAGTTCATATGGAAGATGATCCCTGTGACTTCAGTGTTGTCTTCATGGTAGGCTGAGGAAGGCTGAAGACTGCTGCTTTTCAGAGGCAAGTTCTTGATTTGCAGGGAAGAAACAACTCTCGCTATCAGCAAATTCAATGTGCGAGTGTAGCAAGGGTCTAGGCTTTGCAGAAAGGCCAGTATCTGCATTCAGAACTTGGTGCGAGCTTCTTCTTTAAAAGAGAAAAAACACCCAAAACCCAGATGGGAAGTGACTTCATTGCCAGCTCAGCTTTGGTGCTACCTCTCACAGAAGTGTCCATGTAGCGTAGCTCCCATTTCTTTTGCATGGATGGATTCCCACGCCTCATGAGCTGGAATAGCAACAAGAGGTGGCAGCTATGCCTGTGGGTTTGCAGAACTGCAAAGGCTCTTAAACCACTTCATAAGACTGACTCCTATTGAGTTTACTCAGATATTCTAAATTCCTTTACCAATGGCAATACTGAGAAACTCAAAGTAAAAGAATGAGAATTTATCTACCACCAAGAACACTAGATTCCCACCCACTCTGTCATCTGACCTGGTGCAGGGGTACAGATTTAAGATACTTAAAAGTAGGTTTACAGTGCCATTTTCTCTCTCTCTTTCCTGTTAGACCTTGTGTTGAATCTGCCATTATTGCGGGCAAGTATCAAAAGTCCTAGACTGTCTAAAATGTTATTTACCCTCTGTCAAGTTTTCCCTATTAGAAATCCAGTAAAGTGCTCTCTTGGACCAACTGGTTAGTTGTTGGCAAGTGAAAAATCAATCACTTTAGCTGTGACAGCTGAAATACTTGTCATCTCTGTCTGCCTCCATGGCCAGTCTGGTAGATCAGAAGATAGGTGGGACACCACAATTACTCAAGGCCAAAGTCAAGAGCAGCTTGAGTTAAGCAGCAAGGCTTTGCAAGAAGCTGCTGGAGGATGATTGTGCATTGCACTTCACTGGTATGCAATCTTAGTTGTCTTTAGGACTTCTGTCTGTACCTGGATGGTGTCTGATTGTTTCTTTATTTCATAGTAAAACTTCCCTTACTTAGAGAGCACCTGTTTAATATTATCCTGAATGAACTGTAATTTGAACATGACAAAATTAGAGAACGGAAAGTCTCCATTAAAGAGGGAAAGTTGTTCTTTTAGGCTAAATTTGCTGGACTTCTTAATATGGATCCACACCTTGCTGACAGCAAAGATCCTTCACACTAACACAAAAGCCTGAATAAGATCAGAGATTAGTAACTGTAACAGAAACATGACAACTCTTCATTCCTCTTTGAGTGAGGTTTATTATTTAAAATGCAGTTGACCTAATTTTGCTTGGAAAATCTCTTACTCTTTTTATCCATATTTTTATGCAGAAGTTTTTCAAACTAAATCTTTCCCATCCAGAGGAATCTTTCTTTCCCTTCCTTTTACTTTATGGGAGCATTCCATGTAACTTTATGGCATCATTCTGCTAAACTCTTTCACTGAAGAAAATATGGTAGCTGGGATAAAACTAAGGAATAAAATGTGCTAAAGTAAGCCCAGTGTCAAGTGTATCTTACGTGACTTCAGTCAAATGCACAGTTTTCAGTGTGATAAAGCTTGATTTTGCATCTGTTCATACTTTCATAGGCAAAAAAATATTGCTTGTAGATATCCACAATTGAAAACATTTTTGATGTATGAACTTTTCCTTGAAATAAAACTTCTAAAGTAAATGTAACCTTTCTTGCATATTACAGTTAATGAATCCTAAGTTCTGTGTGGCATTAGCTAGAGATCTGCTGACCTCAGGGGAGAATGAATTACTGGCTACTAATTATTAGTAACAGCAATCCTAAACACTGTTCAGTTCCTTAAGTTTAGGATCCTAAAATCTCCCTGAATAAATTCACCAGGAGAACACATATAGCTGAAGGTTTGATGGACTGGGAAGTGCCAACCTTTTCTGCAAATGATCCCTGGTGTTGCAGCCACTATTATATATGAGAAGAGACCTTTTAAGAAGCTGGGTAAACTCGATGCATCCAAAATCATTAAACACCTGTTCCATTAATGACATGGAATTTGTCTTGTGTACAATTGAAGCAGATTCCATCTGACAGTTCATCTGAAAGAATTGGGCCTAATAAGGAGGGCAGAGGTCCTCAGCTAATGAGCAAGTGGAGGTTCTGATCTATTAGGTTAGATAGAAACTACTGTGTCTTTGAAACTTAAAATATGACCGGGGCTTTGGCCTTGTTTTGAAACATTTATTAATCAGTGCCTTAATCCTGCAGGACTATTCACCTGAAATCAGTGGAACTATTCACAAGAGTAAAAGATGTACTATTGGGCCATTGCAATATATTTCCTGTGACATCATTAAGTCATCCTCCACCCCTCAGCCCCTCTTTGTCCAGCAGGCTGGCTCATCATCCAGCAAGGATGAGTTAGTCTTGCTTAGCCCTTGCTTAGTCTGCAAGAAATGTACTACTGGAAGATTGTTTCTTTATAATCTGAATTTTTGACTGGTAGAAAAACCACTTTTTTTTGTCTAACAAAAAGTTCTGTTCTAAGTAAAGTCATAGCTCAACATGCTAGGTGAATTTGCTTAGGTGAATTTTTTGCCAGAAATATAAATATTATTGAGTTTATAATTCCCTTTCCAGAAAATATTAATAAAAATATCTGTGAAGATTATTATTTACATGGGAAAGCAAATAATTTTGGAGAAAAACCCTCAAGAAATTAAGTATATTTTGCAGATTTCAGTAACCATGAAAAAAACCCCAAACAATAAATTAAAACTTTAGAAAATTTTGACTGTGTGAAATAGCTACTAACAGAGTTTGGGCACTGTGCTGCAGTGATGTCATCCTGTTTGTTTCTCCATGTTGTGACTCATTTTATAATGTGTATTGGCCCTGAGAAAACTGTGCTAAAATCTCACAGGCGCTTATCTCCACTCGACCTCTCCGAAATGCAGCCACCAAAACAGTAACTATTTATGTGAGTGTCAGAGATTTTTGTGCTAGCAGTTTTTTGAATGAGATTTGGTGATTTATTCTTATCACTGGGTACTCTGTTAGAGATGAGGTTGAGGCATGGTATACTTGGGACGCCATTACACTTTGAAGTCATTAGTATTTTAGGGGGAGGAATGTGAAGAGGTAAATGTACTGAAGCTGCATGTGGTATCACTGACAGAGCGGTGGTAGGCCCACTGTAATGAAAGACTCCAAAAGTACAAGCTGAACTGAAGACACAGACAATGTAGTTGGAAAGGCTGTTAACAAACCTCTCGTTCATGAGTCAGGCCTAGGAGGACTGATGTGAAGTACAGTGGTTGGTAGGTCACATGTAGCTGCTTACCCATCTTGGAACATGGTTGGATCTCCACTGGTTGCAGTTACAACGAGCTCTTCAGTTAGGGAAGCACATGAGATATTGCAGATTTGCCA